TAAGCGTTGGAGTAGCTCAGCAGTTATAAAGAAACTGTTTAGTGTTACAGCACAAATGAAACTGTGGCTAAACCAGAGCTGTGATCATACGTGTCTGTTTGTGTCATGTGACCTGAAACGCTTCCTGTGCTGCTGTGTGTATACGAGCCTAAGAAGACACTGCCCGGCGTCGGTAACCCTCCAAAGCTGCGCTGGTGTTGTCTCCATTTATCAGCCACACTCATCATTATGTTGGAGCTGAGCACAGTTTGACTTTCTTTAGAACTGAAACAAACACTGTTTTAGTCTCTGAGGTCAGGATTCACACGTATCCAGTCTTTTAAATCGACTTCTGTTGGTCTCACTCTCATTTCTGAATTTAGTTCTTGTCCTTTGGGGCTCGTTTAATGCTCCTCGTGTTCAATTAGAAACACTCGCATTTTTCTTTTCAGACTCCTCAAAGACTCTTCGAAGTGTTGAGATGAAATAATAATAAAAACGCGCTGATGTTTCTTTAGCCGAGCCTCAGATGGTGGACTGAGTGTTTTTACTTTCGCAGCACTTACTGGAGCTGCATTAACTTCTATTTTCCTGAGCGTGGGCGAGCTGCCTGCATGTTCTCACAGTTTGTCTCAGCTGTTTAATTCTCAGTGGACTGGAGACGAATTTAGTCCATAAAAGTGTTTCTTAAAGTCAGGCCGACACAGACGGAAGGTTGCAACAATGTTACCACTGCCCTCAGATCGAGCAACGTGATTGGCTGTTGAAGCGTTTAAGTCCGTAGCTCCTTCACTGGGTTTTTTTTTTCTTTTTTTTTAATAGGGAAAAGAAAGACTTACTTTCATAAAGAAACTTTATGATTTTAGGAAACCAATAAATCCTGCGATCTTAGTTTTTGGTTGAAATGTTTTCAGTCGGTTGAATTCCTGTTACACCTCCGTGATGTTCAGGTTTCTGATGTCCTCCTCCCGCTCAGCGAGTCGGCGCTCCGAAAAGTGCCCATCACTCGGTTTGGTTACGTAACCGCGTCTGTGCAGGACCGTCGAGTCGTTCACCTGTCACACTGAGCGTCTCTCCTCCCGAAGCCAGAAAACAGATGAGTAAGACTGGAGAGCTCTGACTCATCAAGATGTGAAGGCTGCCGATCAACGGACGAGGCCTCCGAGGAGGACTTCTGCTCTTTTTCCATTTATATCCTCGTTTTTATTTTATAAACTACACCGACTGGAGCTCTGACCACAACAGAGACCCAAGCTGTGATTGGATGTTTGTTGGAGAGGTGCACTCTGGGACTTGAGTTTCTTCTCTTGCACAGGTTTTCTTCACCTGCACCGATGATTCAGTCACAAGGGTTTGGTGCTGACGAGCAGTGAGTCACCTCCTTTTGTTGAGAAAAGCAGTCAGAGGATCAGAGAAGGATTATCCTTTAAATGGACTGGTTCTTATATAGCGCTTCTCTACTCTGAGCACTCAAAGCGCCTTATACAACTAATTCATTCACCCATTCACACAAGCACTTCCAAGCTTAAGTATCTAACATTCATACACATTCACACTCCGATGGATGCATCGGAGAGCAACATGTGGTTAGTATCTTGCCCAAGGATATTTGGCATGCAGACTGGAGCAGCCTGGGATCGAACCACCGACCTTCTGGTTAGTGGCTGATCGGCTCTGCCACGCTGGCGTTCTTTCTGAATTCCTTCCTGGGAATAACAAACTTACTTGGTGACACCTCCAGCTCACCAAGGCCAATCAGAGCCCCCAGAATTTTGGCTCTGTGGACCCGTGGGTCACATTACTGACCAAAAACTGCCCGTTTAGAAAGCTGAAACACAGAAAAGCAGGTTAGCTTATGTTTGGGTTTAAAATTTATTACAAAAAAGGTTTTAAATATGAGGTCTCTGCTGGTTTGTTTGTCTTTTATCGCTTTGTTTTCCCTTCTTTACGTTGAGGTTTTTGTTTTGTTAGTTTGTTGCGTTTTCTTCTCTGTAAATAATGAACCCGTAATTACTGATTCTCACCACATGGTGGAGCCGTCTGCACTGTTGTTGCGCTCGAGTGGAGAGTTTCATGAAGATGTGTCGTGTATAATCGTGACAGCTGCTCCTCCCCGAGCCTGATTCTTTTGGTGGTTCTTCCTCCCCGCTGTCGCTGCTCATAACGGTTCAACTCATTGAACTAGAGTTGTTGTCGCATTGCTGTTGGCCCCGTTTTGCTGATTTTTGCGTTTTCCTGTTGCAGAAGTACAGGCACCACGATGAGGACTCGTCCCCCCAGGACCAGAGCTCCCCCCAGCTGACGGAGGAGGCTGGGGGCCCAGAGCTGGTCCAGGTAGCAGAGAAGAACCTTTCCCTGATCGAGAATGTGCACGGCTACGTCACCCACGCTCACATCTCACCGATGAAGGTAGGAGATGGCATTGTCTCAGCCTCGCGTCTCTCTCATTGGTCCAAACGGCGACTTTACTGGCTTCTCTTTCAAACAGTCAGCGAGCCACGGCCTTCATTTCAGACGTTAAAACGTCCGTCACAGTCAGATCGTTGATGAGCATTATGTTCTGTAGCTTCAGCAAATAAAAAGCTTGCTCTCAGTTTCAGTGAAAACCTGCTTCTGGAGGTTTTTAATGTAATGTTTTTAAGTCCAACGGTCCTTCTGAAAAGACCTGGCTGAGCCAACATTCAGGCAAAATCCAAGATTTCAGCTCAGTTTGTTAAAATGCCAGTGAAGTTCATGTGTTTCTCATCTCTTTACATTTGTTTCCTGATGGCGACTTTTCGTGTTTATGTATTCACACCAATCAGAGTCGCCGCATTCCACTTTAATCAGTCGATCACACACACACACACACACACACACACACACACACACACACACACACACGGAGGATGAGGCTTGTTGCTTGTATGTGTTGCATCATGTGACCCATTAAAATGCTGACGCTGCTCTGAAGCTCACACCTGTTTCCTGTCATCACGCCATCACACACCTTTCAAATTCCTCTGGTCCACGTTTCAGTGTTACAGCTGCAGCAGGTAAAAGTCCAGGTGAGATCACCGCATGGTATTGTGGGCGGAGCCTGAGAATTCCCCCTGAGGTAAACCTACAGGATTAGATGTTTGGGGTCTCGATGTTGAGGCCGTCCAGGAGTTCCCACTAGTGGACGCTTCCTAAAGTTTTCCATGAACAGAATCAAAGCTGTGCGATCATAAATGTGAAAGGACAGAAATTCTGTCAAACGTGGATTCATCCAGCTCCTGATGTTTCATCCAAACATTGAGAGGGAAGTAGCAGTCCTGGCTGCTGGAACGCCCTGTTAGAGCTTCCTACTAGTTTCCCGGATTTTCCCAGTCTGAAAATAATTTAGGTGACTCAAACGCTTCAGGACAAAAGCACGAGCTGATATTTAAACACTTTCCTCGTGTGATGTGAGCAGCTTCTCTCACAGCCGGGCCTCGGTTTGGAAACCAGATCGCGCTCGGTCTGTTTCTCGCCGTCCTGGAAGCTCAACCAGGGGAATTTGGCGTGCTCCCAGTCACGTGACTCTGCCTCCTGTTCGTGCTGCTTCTGTCAGCGCCCGCTGTGTTTGTGTCTGTCGCCGCTCGGGCCTCCACGTTACTCTCATAACGACTGTGTGTGCCGTTAAAGGAGCATTTCACCAACTCCACACGTCCACGTTAATGTGTGTGCCCGTCGTCTGTGGAGAAGAGCTGTCACGGTGCATTATGGGAAGTGTAGGATCCAGTGTTTTTGTAGCTTGGCCGATTAATTAGGGACAAATAAACAGTATTTAGAAAGATGCTTTTTTCTGACGAGCTGTTAAAGTAACACTGAAAATCTCTTTAACGCTTTCAAAACGTTTGAAATTATCTTTAAGTTTGTAAAAATAAAGCGGATACAGAAAAGAACCTTCAGTTTAAGCCGTTCTTGACAAAGAAGGTGATGAATTATAAATAGTCATTAAAATGACTTTTTCTTCCCACGTTTGATGAATAAATCGTTTAATAAAAGATCAGTTTAAATAAAAACCAAAGGCTGCTTCGGTGAGATGTCGCTGTATTTCCAGCTGATTGTCACATAAATGTGTTTCCTCATCAGTGTGCAGCGGCGCCAGAGAACAAACGGAAAGGCCTCCTGCCTGAAATCTGCCTCCGTGTTTCGTGCTCAGAGCTGATTAATCCGATCTCCGATTAGCTGAGATGTGATATTTCACGGAGGTTTGACCCGTTTCACGCTGCACTGCTCGTGGTAACTGAGAACATGGGATCGGATCAAAGCTGGGTGGCTGTGACTCGCAGATGGAGCTCTGCTGCCATCGTGTGGAGATCAGATCATCTGAAGCACGAGGCCAAAGCGCCGTCACAGAGGGTGTTGATGCCGCACCAGGTGGATCTAACCCCACTTTCTTTGAGGCTTCAGTCTCTTATTTAAACCTTATTTAACAGAAATCTCAAAAATTTGTCTAATTTCTTTTTAATGTCTCGTGCTTTAAATATGAGACCTGTATGAAATCTGTAGGTGATTGCCTCCCAGTGTTTGTGAAGGGTATTACATCATAAATCACATGAACGAGGGAAATGAAAACAAAGTTATGTTTTATAATCTCTCTTAATATAGAAAGATTTGTGTTCATTCTAAAGACTTTCGAGATCTGTCAGATTTTTGATGCTTTGTTCTTTGAAACAGAATAAAAAGCTCGTTAATTTTAAAGATAAGGCACGTCCACATAGTTCAGACAGCGGCTGACATAATTATGTCAAAGTAACGCTTAACATCGGCGTCCACAGCGTCAAAACTGGGAACCTGCTCGTGCTGAAAACACGGCTCACGCCAACACAGGTTCACGTGAACATCTGGAACTCCTGGAATAAAAATGCACCACAGTAAATGTGGAGAGCTGAGAGGAGCACTGTGTTTGGTATAAAGATTTGAGATGATGTGAGAAGAAACTCCACTAAACTTTGTTTCTATGCAGGAAACAATTACCGTTAAAAAGAAAAGGAAAGAAAAAACAGCCGAACACGAAACAGTCGAGCTGCAAACGGTTCAAACGCTCCGTCGATCGAAGGGAAGGACGCGCATTCTCACATCTGACCAGCCAAACTCGCTGAAACAGTCGGACCAGCGTCAGATAAGCCTCAGAGAGCAGAAGGCATGAATAAAAAACTTTGTTCACGTGACTGAGTGAGTCCATCGTGGTCCGAGGGTTGGAGAAAGATCCGCTCAGTGCAGACGATAAAGTTTTAGTTGATCTAAAGAGAGAAACTGATCTCGATGAGGCTTTTTTGGGCCAGATGTTAAACACTGGATGAGGAGAATGAAGTCAAAGCTGTTTTGGTTTGTGTGTGAGCTAACGTCGGCCTCTGGGCTGCAGTTCTGTGGTGTAGTTGGAGGTTTATTGTGATGTGTTGTAGCCTTCACCTGTTCACTGTGTGTGTCCCCCTGTTGTATGTGGTTTTCCACACGTGTGTTGCAGCAGCGTTCACGCCTGATTCGGACTTGTGTGTTCGGTCCTGACAGTGTGACGGACTCGTCTCTGAGAGGGTTCAGCCTGCCGTCCAGTAAAAGCCTCAAAGTAACAGAAATGAACCAAAAAGTGCTGCAGAATCAATCAAATCATAAATGTTTGACCCATTTTTGTTTCTACTGAATAAATCGACCTGAATAAAAAAGACAAACCTCAGCAGGCTCATTGATCACTGATCTTCTCCTGACCTGTGGTCACGCCGTTATCCATCAAAGCTCCTCCTCTTTGTCCTCCTCATCAGTTTATCGCTCGCTCACCTGTGAACTCTCAGGTTTCTGTGATTCCTCTCCCTCAGATTTCTTCTTAAAGCAGATCTGACCTCATTTGTAATGATGTTCAGACTCTGATGATATTCTGTTATTCTTCTCGTCAGGTCTCATCTACAGATTCAAACCATCGAGGCGCTCTGTGTGCGTAAACATCGGTATGCGAGATGATGTCCAGTTCTGAGTTTAACTCTGGCGAGATGTTCAAATCGTCCCTTTTAACAATAATTTTTCTTTGTTTGGTGGAAATTAACCAAAAATTCCATAAATAGAATCAGTTATCAGCCTCGAGTTGTATATTTGCTGCAGCTCATCGAGAGTTTGTCATGAATATTAAGATAAAAATAATACAGCTTATTCTCTGTATTAGCAGCCAGGCTTTAAGTGCCTAAAGTCCCTCAGTTAGTCTCTCAGCTGGGCCCAACTGTCTAAAAGCACTAAATTGTCTTTAGGCAGTGACTTCTGATTGGTCGGGGTTAGCCAAAGATAGTAGCGTGCATGAAAACATCCCGTTTTACAGCATTAACCTTTCAGGCTGGTGAAAAATCGAAACAGCAAAGCATTGCAATGTTTTGTGTGCAGTCTGAATACTACAAACGAGAGGGCAACCTCTCTGCAAACAGTGGCAGTCTGACTCTGACTGCACTCGTTGTCAAAGGTTTGCAAGTGAGTGCATCTACTTTACAAACGCAGACAGCCGGTTGGCATCAGTCTGAGTCTGTCAGGCAGCTGCAGGCATCCTGCTAGATTCATGTAGAACAGACAAACACGTGTAACAACTACATGTGAACCTCTGTGTGGACAGACGGCAACGGAGATGTGATTTTCTATGATTTCTCACAGTAAATTGTTGGTTAAGGTTAAACTGACTGTGCTACGTTCATTGTGTCCATGTCTGTCAGTCTCATTTTGCAGTGAGAACCATTATGCTGTTAGATGAAGTTATTGTAGTGGAGTCTGCCTTACAGTCTAAAGGACCTGCAGGTGACTGTTGCTGTGATTTGGCGCCGTATAAATAAATAAAACTGAATTGACAAAGTTTAACTTCAGTTTAAAATAGTGATAAATCACAGTATGTTTTTGCACAATAGTACAAATTGTTCAGAAAATGTTAAAAATTGCAGTAACATCACATGATGGGGTGAATCTGCCCTCTGACAGGAAGTGGACTCAGAGGAAGTTGATGTAAATTACAGAGTGTCGGTTTGAATCTGCAGATGAACGAAGGTAAAAGGTCCTGCTGACCGAAAGTCTTGGATCAGGTCTCGCATGTGTGCGGCCCCCGGGGGTGGAGGTGTCTGCGACTATCGTTAAAGCAGAAAGGTGGTGGAGACGAGTGCACTAGCCAATCAGAGGGAACCATGTTTGTCTGTCCAGTGTTTGCTGTGTTGTTTTGGTCGTTCAGTGTAGAAACATGTCACCTTCATCCGTACGGAGACGCCTCCCTGAGCGCTCCTCCGTGTCTGTCTGTCTGTGACGCTCCTCCTGCCGTGTCTGAGCGAGCCGCCGTGTCTCCTCCTCTGCTCCTCTGTCCTTTAGGTAGCGTCTCTGGAGTGCATCTTTGACGGCTCAACTTTAGGACAGCATCACCCGGAGCTCCCCTCCCCTACGTCCTCCACTCTCTACCCCCACGGAGAGGAAAGCCCCCTCCCCTCCTGCTCCTCCAACCCTTACCCCCCGATCCAGGTAAACCCCCACCCCTCACCTTCCCGTCCCGCCGGGTTGTTTTCTTGGTACTGCTGTATTATTTCACATCGCCATCATTTTTCACACCTATCTGAAGCACGACGTGCTCTGATTACAAATGATTTGCTCTGTGGTAAAAACTCACATGTTTAAACTGTAATAAATTAGCATTTTAGGGGCGTGGCCTCTTTGGCTGACAGGTGGATGGTGACACAGGCGGCTGTAGCTGCTAGCTCTGTGCGTGTTTGTGCTGTGGGAGTGTTTTGGAGCGTGTGTTTAGTGACATTAGCTGACAGTAATATGGCTGCTGTGAGGTTAGTGTACCAACAGGCCATCCAAGAAGTCTGAGCGCGAGCGCTGGGGAACTGATAGGATTGTATTTGGAGGTTACTGAGCGTCAGTGAGCCGGTATCTGTGTGATGCACCCGTACAGCTTGCTAACATGCTAATTCTGGTGTTTAACCCTGTCATAGAACCAAGTCTGCCAGAGCTTACTTTATATTTTTACATGCTGTGGAGCCATTTGTGGGAGCATTTCAAGTTGCTATACATCCTATACAACTGTTATAGCCCAAATTTTAGTAATATGTCTGCATTAAGTCCATAGTAACTACATAAATTGCAAAAAAGTGCAATAAACTACAAAAAAATTGAAAATCGTTTTTGTTTTTTGTACATATATTTCTACTTAGAGAAATTTAAGAGGTTTATCCCTCAAAACTTTAAATACAAAAAAGTTGCAAAAAATAGTTTACAGCAACAGCAAATTTATTTTGAGTGTCTTCATAGTTTTATTTTTTAGATACACCAATTTTTATATACTGCAGAAAAAACAAAAATAAATATTATAATGCAAATTTGCAAAGAAAACGGCAGGTGCATCAAAATAAACTATTTAAAGCAGTGCAATTTCAGTTCTAAGCATCCCAGCAACTATTCAGAAAAGCATGAAGTCAAACATGACTTTTAAAAACACCAGTATAGGCTTATAAGGCCCATAAGTAAAAAAAACAACAACAACTACATTTCGGTTTCGGGCAGGTAATGGTGGACATGCGATAGTTCGCACTGACGTCTATTCCAACGTAGGAAGTGTTATGAACAGCTGATCGGATCAGCAAAGCGTGTTTCTGGAATATTATGTTTTTGTTACTGCAAGTGGTTTTTATGCAGTTTTTGCAAAGCTTTATGTGGAAGTAACCCGTGACCGAGGACAAGCTGATGGCATAAGATGTAAGTACAACTCCTCCGGTTTCACCGCAAACCGCAAACTTGGCTGTGTGCACAACTTATCTGTAGTGAAGTTTGAGGGTCTTGCAAACTGCAGGAGTTTCCTGTTGGCAGGCGTGCCGATGAGTCAGCAGCAGGTCTCTGTTCGATTCCCGCTGTCCCGCAGCTTTACTGAATGTCACTGATTGGTTTTCCACATGTTTTACCTGCAACTGTCCAAAGATAAAGAACAGAGGTGGGGGGTGGGGGTTCTGGCCCTGATCGGTGCAGCTGTTTGTGCCTCAGACTCTTCAGCACCTCCAACACTCTTTGGAGGAATCTCTTCATCCAGCTCTTCATTGTTTCTTAAACGTTTGATCTGCAGCGGCCGCCCTGCCTGACGTCAGCAGGTGGATGCTATCTCCACCGCCTCCACGGCGATAACGCAGCAAATGGACTGTCACATCCCACAAAGACGGCGAGGGCCGCGAGGACGTACTGTACGCCCCTGTGTTTATTGTCCCTTTCATTTTTTTTTCATCTCGTTTTCTCCACCTCTCACTCGACTCGCTGTCCTCAGCAGCGCCATGGCAACACAGGAGATGAATGTCGACAAAGAAAATCCAGACGGCAGGAAAATGGAGAAGGAGGAGGAGGAGGGGTGAACCTCCACGGAAGGACAAGGAACGATTTAGTGAGGCTTTCAGTAACACTGTGAGGGGGTGATGATAAAATGGAGAGCTGCCCTCCTCTTCGTCCCCAACAGAAAGATTTACAGCTGCTCTCAAGTATATTTAGCAGCAGAGCTCATGAAACGAGGGCTCCTTCATCGTCTCCGCTGCACGTCGGTCCGGGGAGGACGGGCCAGCTCTATTTAAAGCTTTATGAAGTTTCAGGGAAACCGTTCAATGTCGGTGCGGACGTCTTCCTGAGCGGGAAACTCGGTGGATGGCGGGGAAAACGTGTTCATTTAAGCGTTTATGGTAGGTTCGTACACTGTAAGAAGAAACACGAGTGGCCGATCTCACAGCAGACAGAAACTTACATGAGTTTAAAGTTTATGTGCCAGGTTTTCTTCTTCATCACATCAGTGAGATAATTTATTAATTTATTTTAAAAAATGCATTTCTAACATGTTTTACTGAGGTTTTCTCTCCTGAAACTAAGGTTTCTGCTGCAAACAGGTTTCAATGCTTCCCTTAAACACTATGTTCTGCATCTGAACCAAACGCGCTCCTCCTTTTGCCCCGTTTGTACCGATTCAGTTTTCAGGAACTTTGGTTCATTAGTTTTCGTGTAATCGAGAAACAGTGAAAGTGTGCAACAAACTGAGTAACAAAGAAAAATCCAAACCTCGGTACAACTCAGAGTCTTGACCTCAGAACTTCTACTCAACATATTTACTCTTAAATTCATCTTAAGATCAAATAAATGTGAAGCTTTTGACTCATCGCTCTCTTCTCTTTGTATAAAATGAAGTTTGGTCTTTGGGGTTCATCCACAGCCTGGTTTAAAGGACACGGTGGCCTCAGGTCATCAGGATCAGCTGCTACGTAAAGCGGGGTGTCATCATCGTACAGGTGTGTTTCCTCTGGCTTATGGATCAGGTAACTGTTTGAAAGGCGTGTCCTGGGCAGAGCCTGGTGGGACACCATGTCAGAGGTTTAGTGTCTGTAAGAGAAGCTTTTAATCACTGTTTTCATCAGTGACCTCAGGCCCAACACGGCGCTTACAGCAGAAAACCTTTAAAGGACTAAAATTGAGACAAACATGATTCACCAGAAAGTCTTGTTTTATTAAGAATATGACCACAACTTTAGACTCTTGATATCAATCTAGCAAAAATTATACAAATTAAAGCTGTTTGACAGTTTTAAATGCAGTATATGCACCATACTTTAATAAGAAAACATTTATTTCGTTTGGACAAAAGGAAGCAGGCGAGCAGGTGAATAAAACCAGACTGACATTTTGGCCCAGCCTTCAGACTAGCACCACTTACATACGGATATATGTTTTTAGCAGGCAGTAAAGAACGAAGAGCTGACGTAGAGTGATGTGACTCTGATGCTGACGGTGCATGTTAATGAAACGGACACTTTGCTTCATCATGTGACAGACTTGGACTCTTCTGTACTTCCTGTTCTCAGGTTTATGACCTTAAAAGGAAAATGTACAAAATCACGTAATGAAGTGAAAATTGCAGAATAATAACAGCCATTTAAAAACAAATGATGAGTGCAGGTTACAGCTGCGTGTTATAAATCATAGTTTTTAATCTATAACATTTAAATGACTAAAGAAAAATGTTGTATTCTAGATTTCTCAAAATTATATCAATGCTGCGCTACAGAAATAAAAAGTGGTCTCCTTGAGACGTGCAGACGTCCATTGATCTCTGATGTTCCTGTGGGCCGGATTTGGGCCCTGGGTGGCCTGTTTCTGGCCCCAGCACCACATGTTTGCCACCATTGCTCTAAATGAACTCGCTGTGCTGTCGTGACCGCCACTCCTGTGATCTCCACACCGGGAAAACTCGGAGTCTTCCCTGCTGACTCATTTTCGGAGTCTGAAGTAGGACAAAGGTCAGCTGGACCAACCCCGCTGAGAGGGAGGAGGAGGAGGAGGAAGACTGTGTGAGGTTTCCAGACTGCAGAGAGAAGAGATCAGAGGACCAACTTCCTCCCTGCCTGCGCTCTCTTTAAACGCACACACACACACACACACACACACACACACGCTCTCTCTCTCGCTCGTCCTCTCGTCAGCCCTGCAGTCTGCTGTTGCTGTCTGCTCCACACAGACGGAGGCTCGCCGACCGGCTGCCGAGCGATGCTCTCTCACCCCGTCGCCACGTTAATCCCCCCCCAGAGGCTCCGCGCTTTCTCCCCCCGTCACCCCCGCGCCATGACGAGCGTTTATCCCCGCTGACAGGAAGAGGACGACCGCGGTTCGGCTCATCTCCCGGTCACCTCCGTCGGCTCCTCTGCAGCCTCCCTGTTTGTGTCTGAGAGGAAGAAGACGAGGAGGTGGGGTGGGGGGGGACCCAAGGTGGAGTGAAGCCCCCTCCCATCGTCTGTTCTCCAGCCAGCACCACCTCTGCCACCCCGCAGCCTGCAGCAGGAGCGAGGAGGCGCAGAGGAGGCGACACACCACCTTCAGCGCAGCAGCAGCGGCAGCATCAACATGCTCAACTCTGTGTGGTACGCCAAAAAGATGGGCCGCCGCATCATGGGCACCCTGAGGAGAACCAAGCGGCTCCACCGGCGCCTACTGGTAGGTCGCCCCCCCTCCTCCAGCTCCTCCACCTCCCACCTATGAGGAAAATAAATCCTCCCAAAGGTTAGGAGGTAGGGGGAGGTGCTGCAGCGTGCAGCGTGACTCATTTCCTAGCACGTGTGTTCATACGGTCATGCACTCCCTCGTGTGTGTGTGTGTGGTGAACGTATTGATCGGGCCGTCTGCTGCGTGACGCTGCTGGCTGATGTGTAAAAGTTGCAACAGGAGATCTGCTGCTGCTGCGTCATGTGTCGGCTCGCGCACAAACGCTCACATCTGGTCCAGAAACGCCCTCGATCCGCATCCAGCAGATTTACGTCGTGATAAAGAACATGCGGCAGCGCGTGTGTGTGTCACTGAGGTGATTTGTTGATAAGGCTGCAGCGGCCGTGAGCGGGTTTTTACATTAACGTTTCGTCTCGATGTGTGAATGTTCCAGAGCTGTGCTTTGAATCTGACGGCGAGGACGAGGTGGCGCTCGGAGTCTCGGGGGTCCGTGTTGGTGTCGTACC